CCCTCTAAAGCCCTGAGTCTGTGAATGACACTGTTTGTTGAAGTCTAGAGATTGTCCCCTGGACAATCTACAGGATATAGAAACTAATCTTGAGCATAAAGAAAAACTATCTGTACAAAAAGAAGTAACAAAATGCAGCAGAAGCCTAGAGAGACCTAGAGATGTTGAAACCCCAGTGCTTTGCCTCTACTAGGGCTCTCCTCGTTCTAGCATGATCTAGGCTGATTAAATGGCCACTTCCTAGCAGCCTGTGGCAGTTCATATGTAAAATTTAAAACACATGGGTTTAGAGCTGTTTGTAAGCAACCTGCTCCACTAACCTCAAAAATTCTCCAAGATGGTAGGAAGTATGAGGCCATCTTCTTATGAGCATAGAAGCAGAAACTGATATCGCCATGGAAGCCATGGTTTAAGAAACAGTGGTAGCTTCCATCTGCAGGCTCAATTCCCCTCTACAGCAGATACAATTTCTTTATTTAATATTGTGTTAGCAAGACAATAACCTAAAACAAAAAAGCATTGAGCACAGATTGAAAGATCTAAAGATGAATGATGAGAAAGCCACCCAGTTTCTCCATACCCATGCACTGGGTTGTGATGCTTGAGGCTGGTATCCAGTGCCACTTTTACAAAGGGGATCCCTTTGGCTGACACCAGCATCTAAAACATCTAGCATAGTGCTCTGACAGGAGTTTTGTCCACCCTCCCCACCTCTGCTGCAAGTGTAGGTGATCCAACTGGCTTCCTGGAAGAGGTACTTGAATGACACTGTTAGTGATCAGCTGGATTAAGGGCAGGGAAAGGTATTCCAGGTAGTAGAGAGCAGACTGGAGGCCATAAGGTTGAGACTGAACCTGGTATTTTCAGAAAGCTGGTATACTCACACATGTCTAGAACATGGCACCAGGGGCAGTAGGGGAAGATAGCCTGCAAGAGGAAAGCCAGGGCTAGACACAAAAATTTACAGTGCAAAAAGTGCACCATACATTAAGAAGGGTGATGGAGTTCAGTGCAAGAATAGCCAGGAAGGCCAGGTGCGGTGTCCCAAGTCTGCAATCCCAGCTACTCAGGAGGAGGAGACTGGGAGATTCACGGTTTGAAGCCAGCCCAGGCAAAGAGTTTGTGAGACCTCATTTCAACCAACAAGCTGGGTGTGATGGTATGTGCCTGTGATCCCAGCTAGGCCAGAGGTGTAAGTAGTAGTCCATGCCAGTCCAGGCAAAAACAAGAGACTCTGCCTGAATAATATCTAAAGCAAAGAGGGCTAGGGGAGTGGCAAATGGTAGAGGAACTGCGAGATGGCCAGCATGCATGGGCACTACCTGTCAGGCTGGCCTCACAGTGATAGAAGGTGAGGCTGTGAGAAGCACAGCACACTGCAGGGGAGGGAGCCCTGGGCCTCCCCTTGAAGAGGCAGGAGAGCTGTCCTGATGCTGCCCTTGCAGCTGGCATCACAGGGACAGAGATTGAAGTTGGTAAGACTGGGAAGGGGGATTAAGATGGAGGACTACCGTGAGCAAAAGAGGACAAGGGGCTGAAAAGTAAGGCTCAGAAATGTGCAGCAGAGAAGGGAAGAGAGGCCGGCGCCATTGTGTGACACAGGATGAGAGTGACGGTGAGGGACCTGAAGTCCTTCAGACAAAGTAATAGCATGCAAAGTCTGGCAGCTTCTAAAGATGGAGTGGTGTGTGTGTGTGTGTGTGAGAGAGAGAGAGAGAGAGAGAGAGAAACAGAGCGAGGGAAGAGAGAGAGAAAAAAAGGAGGAGGAAGATAAGGAAGAGGGGCAGGCAAGGAGCAGAAGTTCATAGTTCAACTAATCCTCCTGTCTCAAAATTATTGACCAGCCTACAAGAAGGCAACTAACTATTAACACGCCCTGAAGTTCAAGTATTCTACCTAATATTTCCATTCCAGATAGACTTCACGGAGGTTAGACAAAAGTTTGCCTGCCTCCTCCCTCCTTCCAGTCACCTGGGAAGGGAAGCAAGAAACTGAAGCTTCCCCCCTCAGGGCACCTGCTCAGATGTCATTAGATCATAAGAATTAGACGGGTCTCCTCCATCAGCCAGACTTCTGTCCGTCACAAATCACATCACGCACACTGCAGTAAAGCTGTGGGTCCCGTCTCTGTCCTGCATTGCGTCAGAGGCATGGCTGGCTTCTTAGACAGGCTTCTTACAGAAGCGGAGAGCAGCCTTGGCCCTCTTTCAGGACAGACATCCTACGAAGGATCCTATGCATCCACGTGACTCAGCACACACTTCAGCTCAGACTGACCCTGGGCAAAGGCTGAGTGACACCAGAGCACGCCCTTCCTGTGCACACCCCTCCCCCATGGCAGCCCAGCAGACCTTTTCCTGGGAGGGGCTGGTGAGCATAGCACAGCACAGCCTGTAGAAAGGGACATGGACCCAAGTGCTGGCTCTCAACTTCTGCTTCCCTTCCACAGCTGACCTTTGAGAACCTGGGAAGAATCTCTTATGCAGTCACCAACAGTGACAACACAAGGCCCCTCTTAGGCTCTTCCAAGAGGAGCCCCATGTAGGTGTCACACCCCATAGACTGTGGCCAGTGGAAAGAACAGCTGCTGTCTCAGCACAAGGAGGGAGTCACGACTGGCCCTGTCCCCAGGCAACTTGCGGTTTGGTTAGTGAACTGCCTTAAGTAGCTCATTAAGTAAATGTTTACTGAGCACCTGCCTCAGCCTGGTACCAGACACTGTTCTAGTGCCTGAAATAAGGTACAAACGAAACAGAAGGAACCTTTGTCTCCTGGAACTTAGATGCCAGAGCCACGAGGAGATAAACTTCTGGGTCTCAAAGGAACCAAACCAATGACAAAACACCACACTCAGACATCATCTCAGGTTTAATAACTATTCTGCCATCCCCACAGAATGGTATGCGGCAGGCTTGACCATGAGAGGCAGACACCAAGGTTCAAGGGTAGCAGGGTGAGGGTCAAAGGTCATGTTATGATCCACCTAACAGGTTTATGATCAACTCACACTAGAAGTGTCCCACGCTAGCAAATGCACGCTCACTTCAGACAGACATGCATCTCTTTCTACTCTCAGAATCCCACCCTGGTTCACCCACACTAAGGCCTTCCCTGGGAGCCAAACACAACATCTCTTCCCCTGTGACAGGCCCCAGCTCTCCAGGCACACCAGGCCCCTGCTGCCAGGAAAAGGACTGAAGAACAGAAATGGTGATAGTCCTAGGAACTCTCTGAGGTACACTCTACAATGTAGGGACTGCAGGTGCACAGAGCCATCCTCTGTCTTCCTGAGGGCTAAAAGAGAACCATTCAGAAAAGATGCCTGAGAAGGAAGATTTAAAGAAAGTTGTCGCTAGACTGGGCGCAGTGGCTCACACCTGTAATCCCAAGCACTTCAAAGGCAGAGATGAGGAGGATCAAATTTGAGACCAGCCCAGGAAAAGGTTAGCAAGACCCCATCTCAACAAGCAAGCTGGGTGTGGTGGCATGCTACACAGGAGGCAAAGACAGGAGGACTGAGGTCTGAGGCCGGCCTGGGCAAAAAAGGGAGAGACCCATCTGAAAAATTACTAAAGCAAAAAGGGCTGGGTTCATAGCACAAGTAGTACAGTATCTGCCCAGCAAGCACGATGATCCAAGTTCAAATCTCAGTTATGGCATAAAAGAAGAGCCAATCCCAAAGCATGAGACACTGGACATTACAAGTGCAATAGTTGAGTTGAACTTTTTTGTGTAATTTTGTAAATATGTGAAAACAACAAAAAATTGCTTTCTTTGGGTTACCAATTAAGAAACTGTAGAATTCCTTTTTGGTTGGAACGAACTAAGAAAACATTTAGTTTGACTATCTCCCAATTCACCCAGGCCCCTCTGCTGCAGCATGGTTGTCAGACAGAAACACCCCTATCCACGCGGCTCTTCCTCCCGGCCAGGCAACCTGTTCATTCCACTGTCCGATGCTTCATAAAAAATTCTCTATATGCTGAATTCAAATGTCTCTTTACATCCTCAACCTTAGGACCAACATGAATTTAAATATGCGTTTCTTTAGTAGAAACCTGTGTAAGTAATTAGGCAGAGCCATTGGAAGAAGAGGGGGTAAATAACTGATACTCTGAGAACCGGAGAGTAGGAACTGTGAGAGTCCCTAAGAATGGAATATTATGAACCAACTGAAAAGACAACCTAGGGCCACAAGAAGCGAGCCAATGGTGAGACCTTCAGCCCTCAGATAGGAGTTCTGGAAAGCACAGGACCTGAGGGTGTCCAGGTGCAGAACTGTGGCCTGGAAAGGACATCGACCTTTGTAGGTGGCTGGGCAGGGGGGTGTGTCCTGAGGGGAGGGGGCAGGTGGCAAAAGCTCCGAGAGCCCAGAAAGAGAAAGAACTGGTCATGTGAAGGTGACACCAACAGCTGTCTTGGGACTTAAATGAGCTGGGACTGGGGGCAGGAGGAGAGTGGCTGGCTGTTAAGTTCTGTCAAATCTGTGTGAAGGTAAGGGTCGCCAATGTAGCTCAGTGGTAGAGTGTCTGCCTAGTGTGTCCAGGGCCCTGGGTTCCATCCTAGAACCGTGAGAAAGAAAAATGAAGGGGAGAAAGAAAAAAATTAGTTGTGATTAAAATGGGTCCCTAACACTTTGTCATTCTATAACTAGGCATTCTCCCACCCTCTCCCTAATGTGGGGTGACACACAGATCAGGCAGGGGAGACAGGCTCAGGGATGTGGTATAAGAAAAGGAGCTAGGGGCTGGTGGTGGAGGTCAGTGGTCAGTGCCCTGGGTTCCATCCCCCAGCACCAGAAAAATGGAAGAAAGAAAAGGATTCAACTGCTTAGATAGGGATCACCTTAGTCCTCAGGTACATAGCTAAATCACAACAGTACCAGTTAATTTCTGTGAAAGACAATGTCCAGAACCTTCTGTCTTATGTATAATTGCTACTCAATTACGGTTGTCCTCCCCAAAGTATTGCAAACACATTCTGAAATCATCAATAATTACCTTTTATCCTGTTAGTTGAAAGTCAGAGAATTCACCGAATCTTCGTGGGCTTCTCTAATTTTAGAAAACAACCAGTCTTCAGTATAGCTAGAATCTAGAGAGGGGAAAAAAAAGGAGGTGGTGGTTAAAAATTATAAGATGTAGCCAGGCACCAGTGCTGTTCACCTGTCATCCCAAGCTGGGTGGGAGGCTGAGATCAGGAGGCCCATGGATCCAGGCCAGCCTGGGCAAAAAGTCTTGTGAGACCCCATACCGATGGAAGAAAACTGGATATAGTGGCACACGCCTGTCATTCCAGCTAGGCAGGAAGCCTAAAATAGGAGGGCTGCAGTCCAGGCCAGCCTGGGCAAAAAACCCACAAGACCTTATGTCCAAAATAAGCAGAGCAAAAATGGCTGGAGGTGTAACTCCAGCAGTAGAATGCCTGCCTCAAATGTACAAAGCCTGAGTTCAAACCCCAAAGTACTGTCAAAAAAAAAAATATATAGGATGTAACTTCCAAAGAAGCTGAAATACACACACTTGTGATATGTCATGAATAGGTGTAAGCTTCAGTTAACCTCTGAAAATAATGGACCACCTCCTACTCTATCAATGCCCCTTATTGGCCTTTGACCCAGAACACTGGAATTTGAAATTGACATACAAGTTCTAGAATTCTTTAGCTTTTTCCCCCTATTTGATAATTTGTATCTTTTTTTGACCTTTTGGTGCTGGAAATTGAAACTGGGACCTGGAGTGCTTAGTGTTCTATCACCAAGCTACCCCCACCCATCAGCCCCTACTCTGTATTTTAACTCATGACTACAATTGTCTGGGTTGACTCCACTTTCATCTGACTTCCCTTGAAACATTTGTAATCAGCTCCTGCAAACAGCCAAGTCACCCTCAATTTGTGCAATGCATATTTCCCTCTCTTGCCCCATATCCACCTCAGTATTGTGGCAAGCTGTGTGCAACAAGCGTTGCATACCGGTCATCCACACATGCAGAGGGGACAGTGCCAGCAGTCACCAAAATGGGTATTACAACCCAGTAAGAAGGCAAAGTGTCAATCACCCTTCCTTTAGCCAGACAAGAGAGAGTCACCTAATTAGAACAGATGAACAAACTACTGTCCCCCAAGGGTGCACTGAAAATTTCCAAGATCTCGAATAAAAATGAAAAGTGCTGCATTTTTTAATAATGTAGCATGAGCTAATTCAGTTTGTGGTTGCTTTATCACTGTGAGCCCATCTGCTCCCGGGGACTTCTCCCCGCTCAGGATGACTGATTGCTTTGTTCTCTGGACAGGGCTGCTGCTCGGAACGGTGCAATTGCAGGAGCTGAGGATTCCAACCTCCCCAGGTGGGACCCAGGTTTGCTAGGTGGAGTGTGGCAGTGGCAGCCTGATGATGCCATTCCGAGCCCGCCTGGGTTTCTGGATTGTTCTGGACCCTTCTCAACTCCCCAGGACCTCAATTTGCTCTGCTTGGCAGCATCACAAGGCAATGCTCTTGCAATTTTCCTTTGTTCCTCCCTTTGCTTCACTTAGCCAGGGCTTGCCTTCGTTTGTTTCTTCCTGTTTACAGCAGCAACACAAGGCATTTAAGTACTGAAATGAGCCAGGACTCCACTGCATGTCTGGTCTTCCACGTCGCTACGCCAGCCCTCTCTGTGTTGGTTACCTGTGAGACAGAGTCTCACTTCATACCCCAGCTAGCCTGGACCACGATAGGGGTATCTGTGCTTCCCTGTGTAGCTGGTAACGACAGGCACATGCCACCATGCCCGGCCTTGGCTGCTGTGGGAGCTTGCAAACATTTTGTCCAGGCAGGCCTCGAACTATGATCCTCCCGATCTCAGTCCCCTGAGTAGCTATGATTACAGGCTTGAACCACCACACCCGGCCTGAGAAGCTCTTTTTTTAAATAATTGTCTATCAACAAAGATGTCTATGGAAATGTGGTCAACGCCCCCTACCCCTGACCCCATTTAAAAAAAACCCTTAAAAGTTTAAGATGCCCGGTTGGCTAATGGGCAATATATATTTAAATTAAAAATATTAAAATACATCCACCCAATGGGCCATCAGGAAAGTTAAGTATGAAGCCAAAGATATCGAGACTGCATATATGTATGTGCAAACACCTGAGAGATAGCATCAGTGAAGAGCCAAGTTTAAATTGTACGGAAGTACTGATTACAACTTGCCAAATCATGATCACACACGGATGAAGCTGCTGAAATTACAAAATACATGTAACCGTATGCAAATAAACTAAAAAAAGGAGTTGGTTCATGTCTGCTAGGACTCTATGAAAACAGAATGATGTAGCTCCTGACGGGCTTGAGCCATCCAACAATTTAGAATCACAGAACATTGTGACTTGAAATTTTTCAATTTACAGATAAGTAAATACATGCCGAAAGAAAGTAAGTGACTCATCTGTGATCAGAGCAGAGACTAACTGGTAGAAGTAAGACTAGACCTGGGGTTTCCCCATTTGTGCACCTCTTTTTTAATGAATAATTTTAATATTAAAGAATCTAAAAGGCTCCAAAGAAAAATGACTAAGACCTTGAATATTTTTGTCACCCCAGCCATCATTATGATGTGACAGAAATGTCAAATGTGGTATAAAAAGTACTACAATGTAATGATTGGGTTTATAATCAAAGGAAACCATAATTAAACTCATTTTGATCTTTCTTAACAAAATTGGGGGTATATACATATATATATTTGTATATATAAAATTTTTGACAATGTTTCAGAAATTCTCCTATGGTGAATTCAAACCCATTTCTTTATATTCTCTATCCATTGACGTTCAAAAAAGTTCACTCCTCTCAAACTAATCAATACTTGATATTTGCACGGTTCATTGTAAGCGATGGTCACAGTGATAACCTAAATTTTATTCAATATAAGCTAAATAAACCTATTTTCTCAGTTTTCAGTTTTACTTTTTTCAAGATAATGTTCCAAGGCTTTTTTTTTTTTTTCCATGATACTGTGAAATCTTAGTCTCCATCTGAGTGGATCTCAATCACTTTAAGCAGGCTGTTTCTGGGTCTAATTGCCCTCAGATAACAAGGACTGCTGTAGGATTTCTGGAAAGAATTTTTCCAAGTATAAATCAGTGATATGGAGCATATTTAAGTCATTTTGAGCCAAGCACACATCTTAGAAGCAGGAACTTCTGACCCAGAATCTGCAATAAGTACCAGAGAATGCCCTGTTTTATTCTGTCCCTCTGTCATAAAAATAACGCATTTTATATGTTAGTTTATAAAAACAAAAGTGAAGTCTACAACACCACAAATGACTATTTGTCTCAGTTCTTTTAAAGAGTGTAAAAGTAGCTGCCGATTTGCATCTTGTGATTAGTCTCATATTATGTGCGTTATCTGTGGTTTCTACAGATCTAAACTTCACCTGAGAACAATCAAGTAGGCTGAGTTTTCCACACTCAAAATGTTCATTATCTGGAAATAGTTAATATTTGGGGCTATCTTGAATTCCCTTAAGACAGTGAAAGCTCTTCTAGTAACAAAAATGTAAGGCTTTGTTTTAGAAACATCAATTATTCAGTAGAACATTTTCTTCTAGAAAGCTAAAAGAAAATTTCAACAACACGGAACAGAAAGATATTTCCTTTTACTTTTTGATCTGCAGCAATATTAGGACCCTAAATAATCAAAGACAAACAGTTTAAAGTATTGTGAGATAACAAAAATTTTTAAAGATCCATTTGACATAGACTCTCCAGCTCCTGTGACCAAAATAATAAACAATTTATAACCAATTTGTTTACTAATTCTGTCTCAGAGGTCAAGACCAATCTTAATCTTAATGACTCAGTCTTTCTGTCAAACTTGCTTACTCTCAACTGAGTATAAATTTACAGCTCAGGATTAATACATGACTGGTAACTCCTCGCAGGTTTCCAAGGGCCACAGAGCTCCCATCTCCCCAGGGCCGGCAGAGGTGGAGAGCAAAGATTCTGGGATATCTGCCATGCTTGATTGTAGGTTCATACTTCAATTATCTCAGGACTGCCGTCTAAGAACATGTAGAAAATTAGCTCAAAGCCACCCCTGCAAATCCTTGAGATTTATGGTAAGCAGCACAGGTGAGCTGGTCTTCTCTGCTCCCCTTTCTGGAAACAAATTAGCAAGAAGCAGGCAAGATGTCAGTCAATAAGCAACTGGAAACTAGAGGACCACTGTGTCCTGCTTGGCTCACTCACTTAAGTCACCAGCAAACTCAGTTAAAAAGCCCAGTTAGAAGTGAGTGTCTGGTGCATGCCTGTAATCCCTGCATCCAGGAAGCTGAGGCAGAAGGATTGCCAGTTTCAAGCCAGCCTGGCCTGTATAGCAAGTCTCTGTGACAAACAATCAAATAAACAAATGAACAAACAAAAAACCTCAGTTGTTTTACAAGTATAAAAGGTTCCAGCCCAGATAGCTTCATAAACCATAGGAAACAGAAAAAAATCATGAATTTGGCTCCTGATTTTGGCAAACCAAATTACAAGTAGACATTTGACAATATTACTATCCCTGATACTCAAGAGGCAGAGATCAGAAGAACCTCAATTTGAGGTCAGTCCAGGCAAAAAGTTAGTGAGATCCCATCTCAAGAAACAAACCAGGCATGGCAGTACGTGCCTGCAATCCCAGTCATATGGGAGACATAGGTAAGAGGATCACGGTTCAATGTTGAGCGAGGCAAAAAAGAAAGTGCAAGACCCCATCTGAAAAATTACTACAGGAGAAAGGACTGGAGGTGTGGCTCAAGTAGTAGAATGCCTGCCCAGCAAGTGTGAGGGTCTGAGTTCAAACCCTAATACAGCTAGAGAAAGAGAGAGAAAGAGACAGAGACAGTGAGAAGGGAGAGAGACAACCACAGGCGATGTTATACCTTGACGAAGCAGGCTAACTCCCCAGTTCTGTGCGGCAGAGGCTGCGAGCCATGAGGGAAGCAGAGCAGGCCACAGCATATTAGCAACACGCTCAGGAAGCCACAGGATGCCTTCAGCCTCTTCCTTCTTGGAACGACTTCCCAGACCTCTCCAAACCCCACTACCCTTCTGCAAAATGGGGGTA